TTGTGAACCTGAAAGAGACACAACAGAGACAGTTTTATTACTTGTCATAATGATTAGCTATGTAATTACATTTCAATCTCAGAGAAACTAACCATAATCAGCAACAGTGACAGGAATTTTATCAGATTTTAATTGAACATCAGACTCCAACAAAGCCTTCTGAACTTTCTGAAGCAACCAAAAAAACAAAAGAGGATTTTTTACCTCTGCGTGACTAATACTCATGATCCGAGATATGCTTTTTTCCTCAGGAAACGTGGTCCAATCAGGCTTTCCAAGAACACAGCAGATCTTGTATAATTGATCTATCTCACTGCTCATAAGAAAATCATTACATCAGTGTTATTAACACATAATTAACCAAAGAAGCTTTAAATGCGAACAGATTTCATTGGTCAATTATTTTATATAAGAAAGATATTCACAGTAAAAACAATGGAAGCATATCATGCTTGAAACTTATTAATGTGGCCAATTGCTATTTTAAAAAAATGTGACCAATTGCTAATGATATGTCCAGACAAAACAAAGAATTGTCGCAGGCTTTGAGTTCAGACAAAACAAAACAAAAATGAAGATCAGGTTTTGTAATGAGGACGAACATTGACGTACTTTTTATGACGCCGACCACGCTTAGCTCCCCAAGCTTCAAGCTTAGCGACAGAACAACCCCATCTAGACCGGAAAAGCAACAGAGCACGTCCATTAACCGGAGCCGTCCTCCTCAGCTCACCCCTCAAGAACTCGTACTGACGATTACTCTCACTACCTCCTTTCCACGGTAAACGATCAATCTCTTTACTCGATTTAACGTATTCCTCCGTCTGCAAATCAAACTCCATCGCTAAGAAAAGCAACCGATGCGGCGAAGAAGAAAACGGCGAAGGCGAAGAGGGATGATGTTTGGGAGGAGACGGAAGAGAGGTGAGAGAAGAGGAGAGAGAGGGAGTGGAAGATGTAGGAGAAGTAGGAGGTGAAGAGGAAGGAGACGGAGAATAAGAAGAGGGGTTCATGAGAGAAGACGAATCGGAAACCATAACTTTTGGGAGGGGGATTGTCGATGGAAGAAAAAAGGATGTGTCATCTGATGTGTCAACAACATATGTTTTTATTGGCTGATTATAATTGCCTAGGTGGACACTCTCTTTGCTCTAGAATAAGAACTTTTAATATTGTATGATATAAACCTTCATTCCGACGGTCTTCTCTTCCTTCTTTCTAACTCTTCCTCCTCGCCTAATTCACCATAAATAATCCGGTAAGGCCCCAAAGATGGGCATCCCAATTTTGTCACAACCAAATCTTGGTAAGGTAAGGTGCATATTTGTTTCTATCATACAATTAACTTTGGAAATCATAGATACAGTTAACGAAGGTTTATTAAAACCTTCATGGAACTTTTTCTTTCATGGTTTATATGTCTTTGGACACATGAAGCTGATAAATGGCCAGACTCTCAATTAACGACCTGTTCTTGATGGCATCAGAATCACTCGGCGAGTCTTGGACCCTTGGTTGAACTGCAGCCGAAAGAGTAAGTAGATGCAGTTTCTTATTAATTCGGATCTTTTCATGTAATCATGATTAAGTTTATGCCACTTTCAATGAAATTTTGCAGGGGGAGCAGGCATCGCATGTGTTCCACCGGTAATTCAATGAAAGTGTCACCACTTCTGCTGTACTTATAGCAACAATCATTAACAGTAAATGCCTTGGACTTAGGTAACCAGTTCCTTTCTGAATTTCGTATACACTTATTAGATAGCTAGGGAGACCACTTTAGTTCCCATTTTCCTTGGCAAATAGTTTCCCTTCAAAGTTGATTCACTTTTGTCTTACTTTAATTCTTTGAATGAATTCTGTCAGACGCTGATTCATTGGGTGTATGATTCATTCGAATCTCCTTTCTTGAAAATGGTATCTTTTTGTTTGACTTTTTGTTGACAGACAATGTACATGTTCTACTAATATTCTTAGTCTTGCACATGGGGAAAAAATATTCAGAACTGTATTTATTTATTTTGTGGTCTGAAACAAAGTTAGAATGTTACTTCTTAGCTCTATATGCTTAAAAGAAAATATAATTAAAAGATTGTTGGGTTTCTTTACAATGTTGAACTGACTTTTTATGATAATAATGTTGTGAGTATCACAAATATGTTATGTACATGTTTTAATATATCTCCCAAAACCAACTGATAATGTTTCCAGTCATCTAGAGTTGTGAGCTCATTGTCATCATCTAGAGTTTTCACAGACAACGATGTGTAACCCACCATTGACCACCTAACTTGGTGAGTATATTTTTAAAATGCATCTAGTAGTTTCCGAACCCCCAACTGGTTAATTGTCCATGTTTAAGGTTGGAGGCGAAGCTAACAAGACTGTCAACACGACAGAGATCACTAAGGTTGAGACTCTTACTATTGGGGTGATCTTCGCCTTTCTTAAAGAGAATCCAGTTGAGGTAATTTGTAAATTGTAAATTGTAAGGTGTTGTTCACCCATAAATAAGGATTCACTTTTTCCCATATAGATCAGACCAGGCCAGACGGAGATGCTCTTAGGAGGATCGACGCGTCTGATCACCACTTGATCTAGCTTTAAAATGGGCGGTTGACAAAAAAAAAAACAGAGGGCCCAACTCCTTGATGCATCTAAAACGAGACTGGATTTTCAAAATGAATTGCACACACCTCATCTTTCACATTCCATTCGGCTGAGATCTCTGTCTGTGAAACGCCAACAAGGCAATGTTTGTCATTCTTGGTGACTCTGGGCCTGAGCTAATTTTTGTCAGTCCACAAATCAATGAGGATGGTGAAAATTCAGGAGCAGGTCAAGTATTCAAGACTTCCAAAGATTCAACTTGCATCGCAAGAGCTTCTGGGGATGCTAGCACACCAATCCAGGATATTGACGTCCAGAAAAAATTCAAGCACGCTAGACTTGGCAAAAAAAAAACTATGTCAGAGTCCACAAATCAACTACATAACTGCATTATATAACTCTTTTCAGTTTTTCCTCGCCTCTTGCTTTGTGTTATTTGCTCCTGAAAATTTTGGCTTCTTTCAATACAAACAGCTTCCTTAACTGTAGTATTTGTTTTCACTTTGTTGAACCTTATATGGTTCTCTATATTAGATCCCAAACGGTTCCACACAAAAATGTCCGTACAGCATGTCTTATTTGTAAGATTGTGCTACACAAAGGATCAGATATGTTACTTGGATAATCTATATTACATATATATACACACATTTTTTTTTTGTCAACAACACATGTTTACGACTAAGTTTGTAAAGTCATCATTTTTTGCGATTTGCCTTTTGGTGTAGTATACCTTTTAATAATTGTGATGCTGACTTTCTTTTTCTTTTCTAATTGAAAATGAATGAAATTAGATGTGACCAAATGAATTTTGAAACATGATCAGTCATCTGTATATTTTGATCTACCGTGTACAACATGTCAGGTTTGGTTAAGGACTTTAACTGTGAACTCAAGGACGAAGAAGCTAGAAATTCTCCTAAAATAATAAGCAATTCAACGATGAGAACCAATCTATGATCAGTTCTGTTATCTGCTATCATCGATGTATTGACGCAATTTCTGTAAGCTTTTCTATAGTTTACTACAATGTAATCAGTCTGAGTAAATATGGGAATATTAATGCAGCTTCTTTTGAAGAGTTCCATTTCGCAGCAACAAGCATATGCCAGTTTGTTTGAATAAGAATAGGCATCATATTAGTTCTGTAATTAGAAGATAAAAAAGGCAATAATATTAATCATAAATATTAAATTCTCATAACATCAATCATTAAGAAAAAAACAAAATACTTTTAAATCTCTGAATTCATCATTGAACTATTTGTTTGATTCTATTTTGAAGGAAAACTGTTAGTTCTCTTATAGATAGCATGTTATTATAGGTAACACTTTCTGCTTCACTAATTGATGAATTAAGGAAACACATGTATATAAAACAAAAACAAAAATAGTATGCAACACAATAAAGATCATTAAAGATTTCAGAGGTAGAATAAAAATAAAGTTTAATACATAAGTTTGAGAAAAAACGCCTATACGCCTCAAAGGATGATCATCAGTAAACCTAGCTATGAATAATATTACAAAAGATTATAAATAGAACAATAAATATTTAGTAAATATTATCAATTCAAAGTTCATGAGTTATTGTTAGTAGGTTCAAAATATTTAGTAATAAATTGAACAATAAATTTTATATATGATAACTTTTCATCGTAATAGAAATACATTTTACTGCATAAAATTAAATTTAAAAATGTCCATACCTTTAAAATATTAAGTAATAAATTAAATATCAAAATTTTACATTATAATTTTTGATCATAATAAAAATACTTTTAATTGGATAAAAAATTGGAATCACTTATATTTATATGCATATTTTATGTCAAATGTTTAAATATTTTTTTAATAAATACATGACAATATAAATTTTAACATAATATATAGAATATTTAGATGTGTACATGAATTAACTTAAACATTCTGATCTATAATTTTCAAATATATAGAAAAGAGGAAACTGAAACAATGTAGGTTTATATTAATTTTTAATAAATTGGGAATAAAAATTTGTAAAATAAATCATAATGATATCATATCTAACCATAAGACATCATCACATCGACAAAGAGCAAATCCATACATCAATTATATTTTTTTCTTAAAACACGTTTTCGTATAATTTATTTTTGTAATTTAAATTAAATATTTATTATTAACTAATTAACAAACATAATGATTTCTTAAGGGGAATAAAGACTCTAACCGGTTTAACTTTTTAACTTAAGAGTTCAAATGTGAAAAATCCCTTCGTAAATAATAATATAGATAGATAGATTCTAAATTCAATATTGGTATTTTGGCAAGCTAATAAAACACAATTTCATTATAGTTTTTAAAAAGGCTAAAATAAAGCATGTAACATTTAAACAACTAAAATCACTCCATCTATTCTCTCTCTTATACTATACTAGGTGTTTCATCCCCTCATTCAGTCTTAAGCATTTCATAATTACTTATTATTACAAGAATTACTAATAAAAAGGACTATAATTATAAATTATTATTTATGATAAACTTCTTACATATTAAAATATATTTGAGACTTTCTACAATATATACATTATTAATAAATAAATTTTAAAAATGATTAAATATTATATAAAATTAAGAATTTTACTTGAATAATAATAAATTATGTTTTTTTAATTTTTGAATTTAATTTTTAATCAAACATAGTTTTCGGATAGCAACACTATATATAGATGAATTATATCCTTAAAATAAATATATATTTTAAATCTTGAATAATTATTATTGTTATTAATTTAAATAAATTATCTAATAAAAGAAATATGAAATTAATTTTCAAATTTTGGCTAATTTATATATAGATATTCATTAAGGGTATAATCGATTTTAACCGCTCTAACTTTTAACATGGGTGCTCAAAAGCGAAAAATAACTTTGAAAATTTACTAATAAAAGGACTACAATAATACATTATTATTTTTGTTTTCTTTTGTAAATTATTACTTATTATAAGTTTTTTTTTAAATATCACTTTGTACAATATATTCTTTATTAATAAATAAATATTAAAAATAATTTAATATTCTCTTTTCAATTATATAAAATTAAGAATTTTACGTGATTAATATCTAGTTATATGTTTTCTGTTTTTGAATTTTTAATTTCTTATTAATAAATAGTTTTCGGGTAACAACACAATATATATAAGAATAATATTTTTTTAAATAAAATATATAATTTAGATTGGATTGTTCTTATTGTTATTAATTTTAATAACTTATCTAATAAAACAAATTTTGAAATTCATTTTCAATTTTTTTCCTAATTTATATACAAAGTGAGAGTTTGATTGAGAAAACTCATTTTGTAAATAATGGAATAGATATTAGGTTCTCAAAAGGTTCTAAAGAATTTATATAAATTCAGAATGCTTTCATAGTATTGGATAC